ATGTAGCCAGTATGGAGAGTATAGAGTCATTTGTGTTTGATAGAATGTGGATCTGCATAGCCCAACACATAAGACAGTTTCTGCCTCATATCGTGATGGTTAAGACAAAATTGGGGGCTGCAGAAGTTGCTCAGTTGTTTAGAACACTTGTTGCTCTTGCAGAGGACCTGGAGCTGATTCCCAGCACTCATGTGGTTCACAACTGACTGTAATTCCAGTTGCAAAGGATCCAATGTTCTCTTCCTACCTCTCTGGGCATAGAGTATGAATGTGGTGCACAGACATACATGCAGGCAAAACAACAAACATATAAAAAATTTTAAGAAACAAAACCAAATACCTTTTTATGTCACTAAAAATACTTTAAATTAACGTGTTTGTGTGGGGGTATGAACACATGAGTGCTGATGACTGCGAAGGTCAGAGGTTTGGGATTCTCCTTGGAGCTGGAGTTACAGGTGGTTTTGAGCTACCTGATGTGGAGGTTGGGAATTGATCTCAGGTCCTCTGGAAAAGCAATAAGTGCTCTTAACTGATGAAGATATCTCTCCATCCATAAACGAGTCCATTGCTTTAGTTTTGTTTTTGTGAGTCTCAGTGTATATCCCTGGTTGACCTTGACCTCAAGAGATCTACATGCTTCTACCTCCCATAGTGCTATGATTAATGGCATGAACCACCAAAGATCATTTTTTAATTACTTTTGAATCACTTTTGAAAGTCTTAATTTTGCCAGCATCTTAGAAATTCTAACACATCGAGAAAAATGCCTTATCAACCATGGGCACCACCCCCAGGAGAAAAGCTCTTCTTTCTTCTCCTGCTCCTTTTATTCTTCTCCTTCTTTTCTTCTCCTCTTCTTCCTCCTCCTTTTCTTCTTCTTTTTCCTTCTTCTCCTTCCCCTTTATCCTTTTTTTCTTTTCTTCCTCCTCCTCCTGAGACAGGGTTTCTCTGTTTTGTTCTGGCTGTCCTGGAACTCCCTCTGATGTGGAATTCCTCTTTGTATGCCGTGAATACCATTGGTTAATAAAGAAACTGGCTTTGCCTGGTAGGGTAGAACAGAGGTAGGTTGGGGAAACTAAACTGAATGCTGGGAAAAAGGAGGCAAAGTCAAAGAGAAGCCGTGTAGCCCTGTTGGAAACAGATGCTGAAACCTTGCTGGTAGGCGACGAACCTCGTGGTAAAATATAAAGTAATGGAGATGGGTTAATTCTAGATGTAAGAGATAGCTAGCAATATGCTTATGTAATTTGCCAAGCAGTGATTTAATTAATACAGATTCTGTGTGGTTATTTTGGAAGTCTGGGAGGCCAGGAAACAAGAGGCATCCCTACTACATCCCTCTATAGACAAGTCTGGCCTCAAACTAAAGATCCGCCTGGCTTTGCTACTTGATTGCTGGAATTAAGGGTATGCACCATCATGTCTGAATTTGAAAGTTCTTCTTTAACCTCTTGGGACAAGTAAAACTTAATTAAAAGCCTGTGATCTAGGAAATCAGAAAAAAACCCTACCTCCAATTTCTAGAATTGTCATAGCCATGACTATGGAAAAGATCTTACTTTGGTTTCTTGCCAGGTACTCATGTTAGATGAAGCATGAGTAAAGGGTTGAAACTTCTATTTGAGGTTTCCTGCATTTTTAGTCACTTTCTCCAAACAAAATGATGATCAGGTAAAAAGTTCTGGGTAAATGGCACTCCCGTACTACAAGTTATATACACATACCCTCTGTAACACTCAGACAATTTTCCTGTGGATTTTTCAAGTCCCATCCCTCACAATTAATGGGTCCTCATTGGTAAATTCTCTGGAGAACCCATAAATAACAGAATCTAACAAAAATTTAGTTCTTTGTTCTTCAACATAAGACCATTGGCAAATGAAATATCTCCAATTTCTCTGTTTCTTTTATTTCTTGAGATGGTATGGTTGAAGTCACTGACTAGACCAGAGGTCTTTTTTATTTTTCTTTTTTTGGTTTGCTGGCCTATGGTGGCCCTAAGACTGGATTTCAAAGAGGTCATCTAGAAACCCAGAGTTCCGACAGAACTGGAAGAAGCCCCAGTCTGGCAACACAGTGACCTCTGTCTTGGAAAGGAAGATAGAAACTACCTTCTGTCATTTGCTAAGCATCACTCACAAACCCAATGAGAGGGGAATCAGACTCCCTTCAGCTTTTGAAGGGAAACCAGTCAGATCATGGAGAGGTCGCTCTGGGTAGGAAGATCCTCAGTTGTGTCTGCCTTTACCTTAAAAATTTGAAGGTTAAGACAGGAAGAGGAAGGCAAGGGAGGCTGTATGTGTGGGAGCTCACAGGCTCCATGACAGGAGATTCCAACTTGACCCTACTTTCTATCTGTGATCTTGCAAGGCAATCAACACATACAAGGCCCAGAGTCCATATATATCTAAGCTATATTAGAATGGCCCTAAGTGTTCCATTTTCAACTCTGTCTTCCTGGTTGAGTTTCCAGAAACCACTGAACAGTTAGGAACCATATGTGTGGTCTCCAAAGTTACCCACCAAATAAAATGGCTGTTGTTTTCTGCCACTAATTCGGAATCACTCATTACATAGAACATAGGCAAAGCATATTTCCCAAGCTTCAGTTTGCATCTTCTGATCCAAAGTTTTCCTGTAGTTCATAATTTCCCATCTCTTGACAGCTCCTGGCTCCTCACCATTGAAAAGGCTCATCTTAGTATTATGGATCCAGAAAAATGAGATTCTTAAGTTCTGGTCTCTAGTCCAACCACTTGTTTCATACTTGATAAGCAATAATATGAGGTAATTTACCAGCTAACACACCTTTGGGCAAACTTAAGCCCCATTTCAAAAATACCAACACACTTTATTAGGTTGTTGAAACAAACACCCTGTGTTAATAACTGCACTATGACTGATGTGTGTGAAATGGTGAATGGACGCTTAAAAGAAATCCCACACTAGCTCAGAATTGAGAGATAGTTATTTATTTAGGGATAAACTCACAAATCAGAATCCTCCGCTTGACCGATTGAATCATGTGCTTGACCGGAAGAGCAGCCAGCAGAAAAGGAGCAAGGGGAAGGAGAAAAGGGACGACCCGGATTTTTCATCCACGTATATAGTATAAGAGGCCATGCCCCAGTAGCGGGTACTTACAAGCTGAAGGTCTTCCTACAGCATGTGTGCATCCTATAACTCATCTCACATACACTTGACCTTACAGCGTATATATACTTCGGTCCTATCTCCAAGTTGTATTTGATTCAGAGAAAGGTGAGGCATTCACTCAAGATTGGCATGATTATATATGCTCTGTAGGCTAGATCCTAAGGGCTCTGATGTGTGTGTGTGTGTGTGAGCATGCATGAGTTGAACACAGGGCTTCATATGTGCAAAGAACATGCTCACACACTAGGCCACAACTCCCGCTCTAGAATGTTTTCAATGTCATAAAGAACTTAGAAGAGCAATGTGGAAGGAACCCTGGAGAACGGATGAAGTGGGCTATATGTGACCTGGAGATTTTTTTTTCAACATAGTATTTTTATTATTTGTGAATTTCACATAATGCATCCTGATCTTACTTGCCCTTCACCCTCAAGACCTCTTACCCCATAAAAGAAGAAACAAAAACCAAGTATGTTTTAAATTATGTGTGCCTGTATGGGAATGTATTATTGCAGGCGCCAAAGTGTTAGATCCCCTGAGGCTGGGAATTATAGGTAGATTTGAACCTACAAAGGTAGATGCTAGGAACTGAACTGGGGTCCTCTATAAGAGCAGGAACTTTTAGCCATCTAGCCGTCTCCCCAACCCTGAACGGTTGTTGTTTTCGTCTGACTGCACACCATGGTACACAGATGACAACGTGCAGGAATCAGTTCTCTCTCCACCATGTGGGTCCTCATGATTCAACTCAGAGCAGACAGCTTGGTAGTAGGCCCCCTTTACCAGTATTGTTAGCTCTTTATTTTTTTGACCTGAAGATTTTTTTAAAAAAATCAAATTTGAAAGTGGGCATCAAACACATGTTCTGGTGTTGCTAGTGTTTTGTTGTTTAACAGAGATGAGCAACTAGCCAGGGGGAACTTCTTCTCCCTCAAATGGTCCTTTGGAAAGATGGTAACATAAAGCCAGAGGATAGCTCCACGTATCCCTGGATTCACTAGGTACTTCTTAGACTTTTGGGCCTCCAATGATTCCTGCTGTCTGCACACTGAACCATTCCATTACAGTGGCCTAAAGAAATGATCTATTCCCCAAATGTACCTGGAACCCGGTACCCAAAGACTCTTGTCTTAATAGATCTGCTACAACTGTATAAGCCCCCCCCCCCCGCCCCTGCCAGAGTTTCTGTGAAACAGTCCTGGTTGCCCTGGAATTTACTTTGTAGAGTGGGGTGGTCTTGAACTCAGAGAGCCACTTGCCTCTGCCTTCAGAGTGCTGGATTACAGGTGTTCACCACCACTGCCTGGCAAATGTTTTAATTTCGCTCATCTAAGCATCAGATCAACATTTCTTAAGCAGGCGTATTAGGGTTCTCCAGAGTAACACAGCTGAGTCTTTTCATTCTCTCTCATATATATAAATACATACATACATACATATACACACACACACGGAATTATTAGAATGACTTACAGGTTGTGCTCCAGCTAGTCCAACAACGGCTGTCTACCAATGGAAGGTCCAACAGTCCAGTAGTTGTTCAGTTCACAAAGCTGGATGTCCAGTTGCTCTTCAATATATACCAGAATTACTAGGTAAGCTCTGATACCAGTGAAAGCATGAATTGGCATGAGAGGAAGGAGGCAGAGAGGAGTTTCCTATGTCCTTTATGTCGACTGCCAGCAGAAGGTGTGGCCCAGAGTAAAGGTGGAGCTTCCCACCTCAAAAGATTTAATTAAGAAAAATTTCTTCACAGACGTACCCAGGGGCTTGTGTTTTAGTTAATTCCACATGTAGTCAAGTTGACAACCGAGTACAGCCATCACAGCAGGAAACACACATTTTAAAGCAACTGTATTTATTTATATACATTCTTTTGGATTTGTCACTCACATACTTTATTCTGCATATAATTACCAGTGCAGTTTTTGGTTAACTGGGTTTTTAAATGTAGGAGCATTTTCATGTTTCATATTTTCTTTAATGGCTAAATGAAGCAATTAAGAACTCCCTGATTGTTTCACCTGCTGGGTGGTGTCCTGAGCGGTCCTTCAGGCATGGGACTCTCCTGCAAAGTCTGCAGAGTGCATCTCAAGGCTGGAAAGGCAGTGGTCTGAAAGGCACTAGGACTGCAATTTGGACTGCTTCTTCTTGAACCTCATCCCGTGTGTTTTCTGATGTCCAATAAGGTGTGAGCTCTGAGTGAAAGCCCTCCCACACTTGGTGCACACATATGGCCGCTCCCCAGTGTGAGTTCTCTGATGCCTGGTAAGGTGGGAACTCTGGCGGAAGGCTTTCCCACATTGCTGACAACGGTAAGGCTTAGCCCCAGTATGAGTTCTCAGGTGCTGAGAGATGGCTGAGCGATCATTGAAGGTCCTCCCACACTCTGAACACTCAAATGGCCTCTCTCCACTATGAATTCTGTAATGCTGTGTGAGGGAGGAGCTCTGAATAAACGCTTTCCCACAGGCCCTGCACGTGTAAGGCCGCTCTCCTGTGTGGATCTTCTTATGGACAGAGAAATACCTAGCGTTCTGGAACAGCTTACCACATTCACTGCACCGGCAAATCTGGCTCCCCTTGTGAATCTTGATGAAGAATATCTGCTGAGCATGCTGGCTGACAGCTTTCCTGCAGTTGCTGCCTTTCCTGGGAGTCCCCTCTTCAGAACCTTTGTGGGAAGTTGTCACATGGGGGCTGTATTTGATGGATGTGTTGACTTCCCTGCCTTCCCCTCTTTCAGAAGTCTTTAGGTGAACTTTTATATGGGGAGTGCGTTTGATGGAAGTACTAATTTCCCCGACTCTTCCACTGTTAGAACCCTTCTGGTTCATTCTTACATGTGTCAAGGAATTCCCGTTTCCCTGCATTTTACCCCCTTCCCAGCCATTCTGGATAATTTTTACAGGTGAAGCCTGTGTCAAGGAACTGTTCCTGTCCCTGACTCTTCCTGCCCCAGACCCTGTCTGGTAATTTTGTATAGATGACCCTTGTGTCATAGAATTGCTGCTTTTCCCAATTTTACCCCGCTCAGCACCTTTGTGCTGTATTTTTGGAGATGTATCAGGTACCATGGCATGGCTCCTGTCCCTGACTCTACCGTCAGAGCTAGTGGTTTTCTGGTAAACTTTGGCAGGTGCTGTAAGTATAACGGGATCTCTGCTGTCCCGAACTTTACCCTGCCGGTGGATTTTTATAGAAGGACCATGTGTCTTAGAATTGCCGCCATCTCTGACTTGCCGCCCCACAGAGCCCTTTTGCTGTTTCTGTATGGTTGAATCTCGTGTCATGGAAATGTTTTTCTCCTTTGCTTTCCTCTTTCCTGTGCCCTTCTTGTTAATTTTTACATGCAAGTGCTTTCTAGGCAGAACGTTGTCAAGTGAGCCCTGGCTTGTATGAAGCCTAGTTTGCCCCTGAGACTGCTGGCTTTCAGAGAGCTCTTCCTGAGGGAGGTCTTTTTTCTGTACAGGCTCGACCTGATTTGATTCTATGGTATGAATTTCTTGGACCTCATCTTGAGAAATAGTTTCAAAGACAGTGGACTGAGCACCATTCCTTGAGATATTCTTTGGCTTTGGGTTGTGAATTGGTTCTACCACAGAACTGGGTGATTGTGGAGTTAACTCTTTGTTTCCCAATGTAGGCTCCCACCCTGAAAGAAATAAAAGATAAGCATGGTAGAGTTAAAAGTGCCAGAATGACAGCAAAACAAACAGTATTAAAAAATGAGATTACATCCTCTCCTCAAACAGCAAAACCAGGAACAATCAAATTGGTGGCTAAGATACTGGGTGAGGGCAAAGTGATTACTCATTCCCCCAGGCAACCTGAACCTGAGGCTGTGCACCCAAGGTTCCCTACCCTGCAGGGTCACAGGTCCAGATAAAGGTCCTGAACTGAGTGTGAGACCCGAGAGCACAGCCGCTCCTGACAATGAACGGAGATGAAGTGTGTACCTGAGGGGACCCTGTGGCAGTCTAAATGTAGGCACGGACTTACCCACAGAGACCAAGTTATCCAAGGTCTCCAGCATTACATCACGATACTCAGTCCTCTCCATGGGACCCAGCAGTCGCCACTCCTCCTGATTGAAGTCCACGGCCACATCCTGGAAGGTTACTGGCTCCTATATTGTTATACAAGTTTGGTGTTTGTCAAAGGGGCAGAAGAAAGGCCACTGGGAAATGAACAGGTAGGGACTCCTTTGCTTTGGTGGCTTGCTCAGAGACAATGACTTCTCCAGCCCAAAAGAGATTTTTGGGTATTTCTCTAAAGTAAAGTCTGGGTCTCATGGTGGTAGACAAAGCCCATGATTGACAAAGAGCTCTAAGTGCAATAAGTAAGCCACATCAATCATTGTAGCATCTGTATCAAGGATGCACTGTCTCCCTCTAGAAACAGCTTGTCCCCTAGAGTAAATCCCACAAGATGCAGTTCTTGCCTTTGTGGACAAGTCTGACCTATGTGTAGCATTCATCTATGTTTTGTCAGCATTTTTTTCCTCTTTTTTTTCTTTTGGTTTTTCGAGACAGGGTTTCTATGTGCAACAATACTAGCTGCTCTGGAACAAGCTTTGTAGACCAGGCTGTCCTTGAACTCAGAGATCTGCCTGCCTCTGCCTCCTGAGTGCTGGGGTTAAAGATGTGTGGCACCACTGCCTGGCCGCTATGCTAGTGTTTTATGAGCAGCTAAAGATTCTGAAAGGAAGACTCCTCCACTTCACCAAGTTGCCTAGATTGGTGAGGTAATTTGCCCATTCGGAGAAGAACCTTCTTTAGAAGGGACAGAATTTGGAGCAGCAAGTTTGGGATTAATCGGTTTCTTCCAATTCCCAGGCAGCAGCCTTGCTTGAAGCCTACTCTAGACTGCTCATTACATGAGAGTTAACAATTTCAATCACATGTCTGAGCCAATATAAACCATGTTCACAGCAAACACCATTGATTCATCCCATATACACACATCTTACGGCTGGCAGGGCTAATCCTGCTGCATGCACACCATCCAATTTGTTCTGGGGCAGATCTGAGCTGTGCCCTTCTATTCCCAATTCCTCAACAGAGTGTTGAGAACAAGGGCTCTCTCATTCTAACCAGGAAACAGGGTGGTTCTTACAGGCTGCCTGTGGTTGCTCTGCTTTCTATATTCATCATTCTTGGTTCACTTACTCCTGCCTTTTGCTTTCTCTACGGTCAGGTCACAATGTCAGGAGCAGGGCTGCCCTTTACACTTTGGTTGTTTCAGAACTCCACTCAGTCCTAAGAACTCAGAAGGTTGAAACTGCCTATCTTGTGTGAGCCTCAGCAAGGCTCACTGTAGAAGGGTCATCTTACAGGTGCGAAGCTGTAACCTAAGTTTCTTACTTACCTCAGGCGATACAATAGCTGGTAAGGTGGCCACATCCTTCTTCTCCTCTTTCAGTCCATCAGTGGCCTCATTATGGCAGGCAGCCAGAGCTGGAGGAGATGTCACATGAAAGGATCAGTGGGGTGGTAGCCCTTAGGCAAGCAGAACTGCCAGGATCTGCGACCCTTGAGTTGTACATATACATGTCCCTCGAAGGTCTATGCTGACCTCTTCACAATGGATAACTAATTCCCATACCTGGAATGGCCCAGACTCTCACCCTGCAAGGGCCACTAAGGGACTGGTATTTTCATCATTAAAACCTTTTATTGCTTCTGTTTCAGGCTCTGGCTTCCAAGGTAATGGCCTTACGCTTTCTTAGTGGTAAAGTCTATTTCTAGCCTGCAAGCCTTTATGCTTGTGTGGCTGCTCTTCCCTTCTGCTGCCTTGGAGAAGGCTCTTTCTTTGGCCATAGGTTGTGTACCCACTTTGTGCTTCTGTCGCCAGTACTAACAAGCCCTCCCACAGACTCCTTCAGGTCTGGCCATGCTCCATGGGCTTTGACAATACCGAGTCTACTCCAGCCAGCATGGGCACAAATGTGACTCAGGTTGTTGGTCTATCATGGTATCACTTCCAAGATATGGGGGACTTTCAGAGCTTTTGCTGGAACGTTTAGGAAAGAGACATCATATGTTTGGAAGCCTTAATGAAGCCAGCTGAAGGCAGCCAACTGAGATAGGCAGAAAGGTTAAGTTTAGGTGCTTATCAAAGTTCCTAGAGTTAGAATATCCTTGAATTCTTCCAGTAAAATTTCCGTCTTGGAGCCACTTTTAAGGTTTGTTGTTGTTGTTTTTTGCATGACACCAAAGAATCCCAACTAGTACATTGACCACAAATAGTTTTCTCAGGGTCTTCTGTAGTTTTTTTCAGGTCGTTAGGTTGCAACACGTTAAACATAGGGCAAACTCAGTTTCATCTCATAAGCACCACTGCTTGTTTGGTGTTAATGGTCTATGTGCATGAGGGTATATGTGTGTTTGGTGTTTGTAACTGTGGTCTATGCATGTGGGTATATGTGTGTTTCGGTGCATGCAGAGTTCAGATGAGGGCCTATGGTGTCCTGCTCCATCACTCTTTGTTATATTCCACTGAGTCATGACCTCTCACTCAACTTGTAGCCAGGGCAGCAAACCCCAGTGACCTTCCTGTTTCCATCTCATCTAATAGTGTAGTTACAGGCATGCATGACCATAACCACATTTTTTAAATGTAGCTTCTGGGGAGTAAAATTCCAGTTAATGGTCGTTAACTGCACCCTACCCCCAAATTCTGGGGATTAAACCCAGAATGCAGTGCAGTCTAGGTTAAGTCTTCCACTGTTGACGACAGCCCCAGCAGCTTTCTTTTTTGAGGCAGTCATGATAAGTTGCTCACACTGGCCTTGAACTCACTTGCAGCCCAGGCAGGCCTCGAACTAGAGACTTGACTTGACTTCTTGAGTATCTTAGATTCTAAGCCTATATCATTAGGTCTGGCAAAATACATTAAGGTTTCAGAGATGAGAGCTCTAGCATCAGCCTCACTAGCCTGAAGTCAAGACTCTTACAGGAATATGTTCTTCTGGATAAGGGAAGAACCCATTCTTTACCCTTTCAACTTCTACAGGCTACCCAGAATTCTTAGCTCATGGCCTATTGGCATTCACCCAGCCTCCTTTTCTCCTCACTCTAGTCCTAACAGGTATCAGTGACAGAAGCAGCCTCCATGAACTCCACCAGAATCTGACCTTTCCACCACCTTAGTACTGTCACGTGTCTTCACTGGTCATAGCACATCTTCCCGCAGGACCACAGGCTCAGTAAACTACAAAGAACTGGAAGGCTGGCTATGTGTCAGGGGTCCCAAGAGAACAGGGGGAGGGGAAGCACTGCATCTGAGCTTCCACTGAAGCCCATGATAAGTTTTTGTTTGGGAGAACAGGGCAGGAAACCAACCACTTCAGATTTCTTAGCTTTGACCTAGTAACACATGGAAGACAGATGTTTGTGGTCTGGAGTAGGAACAAGTCATCCTTAGTTGGCTTGTTCCTTCACTACTCCTCATTCCTCCACAAAGCCTTCATAGAGAAGTTTTTCACCTTACCCTTCCACGAGACTCACCATCTTTCTTAGACATCGCGGTCCTCTTCTTCACCAGGGCCACTGCTGCCTGGCAATCCTCTGGGTACTGGGATTCTACCCATACCCGCAACTTCTCAGGCAGTGCATTCAGGAACTGCTCAAGCACCAGCAACTCCAGGATCTGTCTCTTTGAATGTGTACTGGGCCGCAGCCACTGGTGACACAGCTCACGAAGCTGAGACACAGCCTTCCGGGGATCGTCTGATTCTTCATACTGGAAATGTCGGAACTTCTGGTGAGCAACTTTCGTGTCAGCCAAATGCTTGCTTGCTTGTTGAGCTGGCTTGAGGCTACTTGGGCTCCGGTCTTCTCCATTTTCAGGATAGAGGGATTGAATCAGAGCATTCCGGGGACCAGCCACATCCTTGTTCAGTGTAAGGACCTCAACAACCTTGATCTTCATCAAGGGATTCTCATCAGGAAAGGAATTTATTTCATGGTCCAGAGAAGGCCCAGAAGATTCTATAAGTCAAAACCAGAGTGAAAACTAGGCAGGGTGGCCCACCCCTGTAATTGCTATCCTTGGGAGCCAGGGGCAAGAGGGGATCCCTGGAGTAAGAGTCTAGCAAAGTTTACATATTCAGTTCTAGGCCAACCAGAGTTACAAAAGACAGACTCATCTAAAAAACAAAGACAGGGTTGAGTATGTAGCTCAGATGGTAGGGAATTACCTGGCATTTGGGAAGCCCTGGGTTCAATTCCCAGCAATGCATTAAAACCAGGCAATGAAATGTACACCTGTAATCCCAGCACAGAAGAGATAGAGGCGGAAGGATCAGAAGTTAGAGGTCAACCTTGGCTACAGAGCAAAGTCAGGCCAGCCTAGATGCTTGAGACCCAGTTTCATATACATGTTTTAAGGAACATAAATATTGTTTTATTCAGTATATAAGCAGCTGGCTTATTCTTATATATAAAGAACTATTATTAAGTTACATGCACTGCAGCCTATCTGTATAGATTACCCCCCCCTCTTATATAGATTTTGAACTTGTGTTTTATTTTGTACATCAGTTGTTTGTAAATCATTGTTTTTGTCTAAAGAGAGAGAATTCATGCACTACATTTTCCCTTCTCCTTTCTAAATTTTCTTTCTTTGCCTAGGGCCTAGCATGCACTTACCAAGTAAGTGTTCAACCACTGAGCTATAACAATGAGAACTCACACTTTTTTTGGAGACAGGGAAGCCAGCACGGTTGGCCTTGAACTCTATGTAGTAGAGCAGGACTTTACAATTCTGATGTTCTACTTGCCTCCTGAGGTCAGAGATTATAGTAATTCACAGCATACCTGGTTTACGTGGTGCTGGGGATTCAGCCCAAGGCCTTGTGCATGTTGGGTAAATAATTTGCCAGCTGAGCTACATCCCCATCCCTTCTTTTTGCTTTTTATTTGAGGACAGGTGCTCACTAAATTGACTGGTCTTGAACCTGTGATTCTGCCTCAGCTTCCCAAGTAGCTGGGATTATAGCCCTATAACTCCAGGCCCAGCTATTTGTTACTTACTTTAAAAATACATTTTTTTTAACTTTTTCAGAGTGATGTATCCCCCTCATCACCTCCCAAAAATATTTGCTCCAATGTTTTGCTCATTGATTTTAGAAATGTATTTGAGACTGTCCAGTCACGCTTAAGAGAATCATAACATACATATTTGAGACACACAGATGGATGGCAAACAAAGGTCCTAGAGAACAAATACATGGAAGATGAGAGAAAATGTGCTCTTTACAAAAATCAACAAACCATGCAAACACACTACTGGACTAGGCTCTAGCCAAAGACATGGCCACTCTAGATTCTGGTCTCTCAAACAAATCAGTAAGATTCTGAGTCCTCAGAGGTCTTTGAAACATATTCTGTCTCAAAATTTCCCTTTACTCTCTCAAAGCCTGGACTCACACTGAAATTCTTTCTGAAGACATGCCCTTGTTTCTTGGGATTTCTTCTGCTATGTATTCACTCGGTAGTATCTTTCTAACCTCCAAGCAATTCACTCTATTAGCCAACTGGAATGGATAGAATTATAGTAATGATTGCTCTCATTCACATCATTTAATATTTAAGTCAGATAACAGAATTAGAGAAGTCAGAAATTGCTTGACTACAGTTATAAATTCCTTTTATTCAAAGTTTGTACAGGGTTTGTACTTTATGACCTCTGACATTTTCCCTTTCTTATTCTCTGTAGTTCTTTCTGTTGAGCATCTGTTTCTCAGAAAATGTAGGGGTTCAAGCTGATGATTTCCCCATAGAATACATCTAAATGGTCTTTGCCCATATGAGTCCTCTGATCCAGAACACAATGAGGACTCCTACTGAAGTTTCCCGCACTGTCATGCTTACAGGGATCCCCATCGGTAAATTCTTTAACCCTCAGTGGCTTCCTAACAGCGATGACTTTCCTCAGACTACTGCTGGCATGACTGTGACAGCCAACAAGAGAGCCGCACGAGGAACTGGTTCTACGTCACGCACGTTCTTGTGGCTTCAGATTTCTCAGAGGCTATTATTTGGCATAAGAAAATTTCCAAACATAAACTTGTTATTTTTTTCTGGGGAGGGGGATCTCATGTGAGTTTTCTCCAGGTAAGACTAACTTAGGTCAGAAGCTGTTCCCGTTCCAATTGTATTTCGAGGCTTTCTTTCCTTAGAGTGAGTTCTCAGAGAGTAAATATTGAAAATTTCACAGAAACTCTCTACAGATTGATATTTGGCTTTAGTCTTCTAATAGTTAAGGAGGTCCAAGCTGAGCTAAAATTGGGCTTTCTCATACTAAATACACTTTACATTGTTTTTTTTTTTTTTTTTAACACACACACACACACTATACAAAGATCTCAGAGAACAAATACATGAAAGATGAGAGAAAAAGTGTTTTTGGACAAAAATCAACCAACCAGTCACGCAAGCACTGTACTAGGCTTTAGACAAAATGTATGTTCATTCAAGATTCTAGACTCTCAAACAAATCCATAAGGTACTGAACACTCAGAGTTGTATATATGTGAAATTCCTTCATTTTCCATATATTCCAAACTTTCATATAAATATTTTTCATTTTCCATGTTTGTTCATTTTTATTTTCTAGGTTTCTTCGAGCATGTAGACATCCTCTTAAGCTACACAAAAAATTAAACCCTGCAATATCTGCCTCTTTCTCAAACAAAAGAGAAAACACTTGTTGTGTAATTTAAATTCAAATATATTTATAAACCCGTTTATTGTTTGAAAGTGTTGCCACAATCAAATTTATCAGGTTCAAGTCACACCCCCCCCCTTTTGTTTTTTCTAGACAGGGTTTCTTTGTATAACAGTCTTAGCTGTCCTAGAACTTTGTAAACCAGGCTGGTCTCAAACTCACAGAGATCCACCTGACTGCTTCCTGAGTGCTGGAATTAAATACATGCACCAGCACCACCTAGCTCCTGCTTCATTTCTTAAGTTGACAATATCAAATTTTCGGCTAGAGAGATAGCTTAGCAGTTAATAACAATGGCTGCTTTTGCAGGACCTGGGTTCCACTCCCAGCATACATATGATGGGTTGAAACCACCTATAACTCCAGTCCCAGGGAAAAGGATGCCCTTTTCTGGCCTCTGTGGGAAATGTATGCACATAGTGCACAAATATATACACAGGCAAAATACATGCACATAAAAGAAAAAGCTTAAAAAGAAAAAAAAAGTTTTTGGAGGTCGTCCTTTGATTATAGCTTGTTCATTTACTAGTTAGTCTCTTTCTCTCGCCTTCCTTTCTTTATTTCCTGACAGGTTCTATATTACATTGGTAGACTAGAATTCATAGATCAGCCTTCCTCTGCTTCCCCAGTGATTTGACCGAAGGTATGTGCCATCAATGCCTGGCCAAAAATCTCTTTTATGCATCGGTTTTCTAATGATGAAGACTAGATAACATTCAAGCCTTTCACTTGAGGGACATACATGTGCTTTTCTGAATGACCAAAGAAAGACAACAGCTGAATATATGAGCCCCCCCCCTTTCCTTTTTCGAGACAGGGTTTCTCTATGTGTACCCTGGTTGTCCTGGAACTCACTCTGAAGACCAGGCTGTCCCTGAATCCCCAGAGATCCACCTGCCTCTGCCTCCTGACTGTGCCCCAACATCACCCAGGAAGCACAACCTAATCCATTTTTTAACACATTTTCCCTGCAGTCAAAGCTTTCTTGAGGAAGAATGACATTTACCTTAAGATTTATCCATTTTCTCATTTCACTTCAACAACCACATTCCATGATGTCATTCTAGCTATGGTGGAAAACTGGAGACATGCAAGCTGAACTGTGAAAAACAATCCCAGCTTTCGATTTAATCTCTGTTCTGTGCATCGGTAAGCGGCACAGCACACCACTGTTGGGAGACTAGAGGAGACATATCATCTCATTTAATAGTAATAGCTGACATTATAAAGTCTCATATTTTTATCTGCTATCTGGACCTCTTGAAATTCAAACAAGTGCATTTGATTGGCTTAGCAAACCTTCTCGGCTGTGTCTAAAGCTGCTGTCCATTTCTAAGGTACCGAGAGCACAAGCAGAGGCACAGTTAAAGAACTTTTAGGGTGGATGGTATTGGGTAGTTCCTTACCTGATTAGCAGAAAGTTTTACTTAACATTATGTCATTATGGAGAGAGAAAAACAAAGATTTTACTTCTCAAAATAGGTTTTACCAGCTTAGCCTGTTTGTGCGGCCCATAGCAGCAGGACCAGGACCTGTCCCTGGCACTTGAGCTGTCTTTTTGTAACCCATTCCCTACGTTGGGACGCTTCACTCAGCCTTGATGCAGGGTGAAGGAGCTTGGTCCTGCCTCAACTTGATATGCCATGCTTTGTTGACTCTCTTGGGAGGCCTTATCCTTTCTGAATGGAGAAGAATGAGGAGGAACAGAATGGGTAGAAGGGAGGAGTGAGGAGAGGGAACAGGAAGAGAGGAGGGAGAGGAAACTGTGGCTGGTATGTAAAATAAATAAAAAAAAATTAAAAAATAACAAAATAGTTCATACCTTTAAAGTAAGTTAATTTCAAAATTTCAGGTTGTTTTCCTGGCAATACAAGGCTGGGTATGTAGCCCCATGGCAGAAGGCCTGTTTGGCATATAAAAGGCCATAGCATCAGGCTCCAGAACCACAGAAAGAATGCTTGCAGTAAACAGAGCACAAACAAATAGACACAGAAAATCCCTTCAGCTTCCTTCACTCATATGAATTCTCAGTAAGCTGTTCACTTACTAGGTTCACGGGGTCTACCCTTGAGTCATACACACTCCTTAATTCTCCCTAAAGCTGCTGCTTGCTACTCTCTCAGAGCAGGCAATTCCACCCCTCGATGCTACCAAAGCTTCCTTCCTTCCTCCATCTGTGTCCTGCCACAGCTTTCCTCACAAACCAACGAGAGCGAGCTGTGAGAGGCCATGTCACACCACTGCGCAACAACCAAAGCCAGTCCCTCACAGTTAATATGGCCCGCGTCTTCTGCCAACTTAACCTGCACATATTATTTATATTTTGGTTACCTACTCCTAGCCCCAAAATAGAGTCCAAAGAAGGGGTGTGCGAAGTCAGTGATTGCAGTCCCTTCGGCTGATAATCATCACCGAAGATGACACCAGATGGAGACTGACAGGTGAATGGTGCCAGAGGCAGTGGCTCTGATGCTATTCCCACCAGAGCATTACAAAACCAAGAGAAGCATCCGGTAGGACATGGTGTGCTTTATGCCCAACACTTAAACAGAAAAGTTGAGGACAGCAAAACCAGTGACTACCACCTCGTCATTCACGAAGAGTAACACAAGGTAGAACCTTACAGCGAGGCACTTCTTAGATCTGCTATGTGACCACTAACTGCTCAAAGGAGAAAAACCACTCCGACCACCTTGGAAGATTCTGTAATGGAAATAAGAAGTGTCATTTTCATTCACTTCTAGCACTAGATTAATATTTATTCATTCAGATGAATGTTGATGTGAAACTAAGCTGAATCTAACATCACTCTCATCAAAACCAAGATATCGTCCCATGAGGTTAGGCCAGTTTCCCACTCCTCACTTTCAGAATCGCGAGGTGCTCAAATATGTGATGATGCAACTATGAAATTATCTAAAGCAAAGACAAGATTAACATAAAGCTGAAGACACGGCTGAGTGGTGTGGCGGTTTGTGGGAAACTGATACCCATGGGCTTATGTGTTTGAATCCTTGGTCCCCAGTTGGTGGCTTTACTTGAAGTTGTGGCCTTGTCAGAGGAGGTATATCGCTGGGGATGTTTCCAAAGTTCATGCCAGTCCCAGTCAGCTATCTCTCTGCCTCCTGCTCGTGGATCAGATGTATGTGCTCAGCTAGAGTTCGAGCACCATACCTGCCTGCCTGATGTCATGCAACCCACCGTGATGGTCATGGGCTAACCCTCTGAAACTGTTAGCAAGGCCCAAATACAGGGGGTTACAGGGTTTGGAGTTGCCTTGCTTGGTTTTGACCTTTTCTGGCCCAGTGTTTCCTTACTTTTCCCCTTTTGGAATGGTCACATATATTCTGTGCAATTTCTGTGTGGAAGTATGTAACTAGCTTTTTAAATTTAAAGGGTATTCCAGGTAAGAGTCTTCCTTGAGCCTCAAAAGAGACTTTGAACTGCTTTGTTTTTATTTAAAATTTTATTTATTATTAAGTACTTGGTGAGTTTATGTGTATGTGTGTGTGAATGCAGTGCCCTCAGAGGACAGAAGAGGGCGTCAGATGCCCTGGGACTGGAGTTACAGATGGTTGGGAGCCACCATCATGTGGGTGCTGGGGATTGAACCTGGGCCCTCTCCAAGAACAGTCAGTGTTCTAACCGCTAAGCCATCTCTCTAGCCCCCAAGACTTTGAACTTTTAAAGTGCTGTGAAAGACTATGATGGGTTTTGAACTTGGACTGAATGCATTTTGTATTATGATACTGCCATGGACTTATGGGGCCAGGAAGTAATATATCTGAATATTTTGTTCCCAGTTGGTGGAACTGTTTAGAAAGGATTAGGTGTGGTCTTGACAGAGGAGCTGTGTCACTGGGAGTAGGTTTTGGGATTTCGAAAGCCCACGTCATTCCGATATCATGAGCTCTGTCTTTCTGCCTGCTTGTGGATGAGGATGTAAGCTCTCAGCTACTGCTCCAGTGCCATGTCTGCCCACCTGCTGCCATGCTCCTCACCATGATGATCCTGGACTCACCTTCTGAAACTGTAAGCAAGCCCTCAACTAAATGTTGTCTTTTATAAGTGGCCTTGGACATGGTCACTTAGATGTTCACAGCAATAGAAAATTAAAACACCAATGTTTAGAGAATTTAGTGGGATAACAGATTCATCCGAACAACCGTGCAGGAAAGGACTAACAAGAACAGGTAACAGCAACAAATTTAATGTACGTGCTAACAGAATATTGTCAACTAACCCTAGGCAAGGTGGTATCATCCAAAGGACTAGATGGCCAAAAAATAGTTGTTTTTTTTTTAATTACAAAGGGAATGAGAACTTGTTGAAGTTCATTAATATACAATAAACAGTGCCTTAATGCACCACCAGAGAGGAAAAGCACAAAAGTTCAAAGCAAAGAGCACAGAAGAGGCTTTTACACTATGACAATAGTCATTTAGTCTATGGAAAGATGGTGTTCCCAACAAACAGAAGAATGAAGCAGTATATGGGGCTGAAAGAACTCATGTCCACCAGGTACAAGTGAAGCTCGATAATAGAATAACAACAAAAAAGTAAAAAATGCCTGAAATCACGAAAGTATGCAGACAATATGCCTATGTGGTTAAAAACAAAAACAATAATCAAAACTTAGAAGAGAAATAAAAAGAGGAGCCAGTGTGGTAGCACACATTTGTAATCCCAGAAATTCTAAGGTAGAGGGATGATCAGGAATTCAGTTAGGTAGCAGGTTGGAGTCCAGACCTCACTTCAAAACTAAACAGAAAACCAAAGCAACAACCAAACCTCCTACCGCATGAACCCCAAATACCATGAGTCCCACCCCAAATAAAGACTGAGGGTGCAGATGTTAGTTCAGTGTCTGCGTTGCTTACTGTGTGAAAGACCCTGAAAACAGTGTCTGCGCACTGGAAAATCACCTGTCCTAATTACAACATGCTGCCCGAGTTCCCGTGCTCTCCGCCGCTTAGAAGACATTAGTCTCAGAACAATCCATAGGCCCATCCCTTTTGGGAACTCCCTCATGTCTGGCTCTCACCTGGACAGGTATCTTGAGGAATTTCTCTCTCCACTGGCCAGAAGTCTTCTACTTCTTCTAACTGAGATATCACGTTTGGCTTGGAAAAGTGATGTTCTGCTCAGGGGAAAAGAGACAGGGCTTGGGGAGTCTGCTTAGAGAACACGCTGTCCTGCTGTAACAGTCTATTCCTTCCTGACCCTATAATAATAATATTAGGACATAATGACTTTAGGCCTTGGGCAGTGACAACTACACATCCATTCCTTTAGTTGGATTTCTTGGGTTTCCTTGACAGCAGAGGAACCATAAAGTAAAAAAGGGAGATTGCTCAATTGGGGGATATTCTGGGGAAGCTTTTGCTTCTTTGCTAAATGTGACAGCCGAGAAAGAACTGGTCAGGTCAATCTACTTTGCTTGTTTCTGCCTAAACATAGACATCAAGCTTAGAGCCACAGTTATGTAATAGAACAGAAATCTTCCTAAGAACCACTAAGCAAACAGTCTTTGATGATACCCCTGAGCTGCAGGACACCGGTATCTCATCCATGGGAAGTGTCTTAAAAGTTATAGCCAACTGTCACTGCATCTATAAACAGCCCTTATAGGCTCTGCCCAGCGTTCAGGGGATCGGATGTATGGATTGGATGAAATACCTGAAGTTATACTCAAAAGCTGCCTTTTTCTTTTCTACCAAGCTCTCCACTGCCATAACACTTCCACTCTGGTCTGTCCAGGATAAGCCCAAGTGCAACCAGTTTACAGGAACATGTTTGCAGTTAAAAAAAAAAATGGGGGGGAGGAGGAAGAAGGAAGTAGAGTCAAGAAGACTGGCCCTCAACTTCCCATCTTCGTCCTTCTCCACCTCTGGAGTGATGAGTTCATGTGCGCACCACCCACCCGAGGCCCAGACAGATCTTTATCAAGGTGTAGGCTGCCTTACCCACTGAAATCATGTTATTATAGTTCTCCAGCATGATTTCCCTGTATAGGCACTTCTGTTGGAGGTCCAGCTGTGCCCACTCGTCCTTGGAAAATGTCAGTGATACATCTTCAAACTTCACAGAGTCCTAAAACCCACAGAATGTTGTTCAGCCAGGGTCCTCTTCCACAGTGCCACGAAAATGGGAAGGCAAGATGACCCAGCAACATTCTACTTGTTTCATCTCGAGTTCCTTTGTCTGAATCCTCGAGCAAATCGCTCTGCCACTCATCAGGAGGACACGTGAGACCTTTAGTCTATGAAAACCTTTCCATTTCTCATTAGCCAGGGGATAGGACTCTTGGTTCCCATCTACACCGTTTTTCCTTGTATTGTCACCTTCTCAAACAGTTGCTAAAACTAAATACGAGCCTATCTTCTCACACTCGTCAGTTTCTCCCCACACTCCCAGTTTAAAAAAAGCAGAAAATAGTTTTAAAGCCCCGGAGAGATGGCTCAGTGGGTAAAGGTGTTTGATCCCAAGCCTAAGTCTGATCTTCAGGACCCACACTTTGGAAGGAGAGAAGCCATTCGGAAAGCTGTCCATACCCACACACAAAATAGATGTACCAAAGTTTATTTTTAGTTGAAAAGCTTCAATCTCGCCTGTAGAACCCCCAGTTCAGAAACTGGTTTATTTGTTTCTTTCTTTTTCTATCTAACCACCCTCTTGGACAGCGAGGCAGTCCTTCACCTCTTCCCGGAAATCTAGGATATTCGAGAACAGATGTCTCACCACCAGCCGCCCCCATCTGGGGCTGACTCAAAAGCTGAAAGAAACCTCTACTCA